CATCGACATTGCCTCTCTCACACAGATAGGGAAATGCCGTAGTTCCTTACATGTCAGTCTTGTTAACATCAGCTCCATGTTGTATCATCAATTCTACAACACTTGCATCAACATCGCCTCTCCCACACAGATAGTGAAATGCTGTCCTTCCATACACATCAATCTTGTTAACATCAGCTCCATGTTGTATCGTTAGTTCTACAACACTCGCATCAACTTTGCCTCTCTTAAACAGTTTGTGAAAATCTGTATTTCCCACGATCATCAGCCTTGTTAACATCAGCTCCATGTTGTATCATCAGTTCTACAACACTCGCATCAACATCGCCTCTCCCACAGAGATAGTGAAATGCTGTCCTTCCATTATCATCAGTCTTGTTAACATCAGCTCCATGTTGTATCATCAATTTTACAACACTCGCAACAACTTTGAAAGGCCACCCGCTCGCACACAGATAGTGAAATGCTCTCCTTCCATCATCATCAGTCTTGTAAACATCAGCTCCATGTTGTATCATCAGTTCTACAACACTCGCATCAACATCGCCTCTCTCACACAGATAGTGAAATGCTGTCTTTCCAACATCATCAGTCTTGTTAACATCAGCTCCATTTTGTATCATCAGTTTTCCAACACTCGCATCAGCTTTGCCTCTCCCACACAGATAGTGAAATGCTGTCCTTCCAAAATCATCAGTCTTGTTAACATCAGCCCCATGTTGTATCATCAGTTCTACAACACTCGCATCAACATTGCCTCTCTCACACAGATAGTGAAATGTTGTTTTCCAAACACATCAATCTTGTTAATATCAGCTCAATGTTGTATCATCCGTTCAACAACACTCGCATCAACTTTGCCTCTCTCACACAGAAAGTGAAATGCTGTCCTTCCATACATGTCAGTCTTGTTAACATCAGCTCCATGTTTTATCATCAGTTCTACAACACTCGCTTCAACTTTGCCTCTCTCACACAGATAGTGAAATGCTGTTCTTCCAAACACATCAATCTTGTTAACATCAGCTCCATGTTGTATCATCAATTTTACAACACTCGCATCAAGATTGCCCCTTTCACACAGATAGTGAAATGCTGTCTTTCCAAGAAAATCAGTCTTGTTAACATCAGCTCCATGTTGTATGATCAGTTTGACAACACTCACATCAACATCGCTTCTCCCACACAGGCAGTGAAATGATGTTCCTCGTCCAAACCAAGCTGTCTTGTTTACATCAGCTCCATTTTGTATCATCAGTTCTACAACACTCAAATCAACTTTGCCTCTCTCTCACACAGATAGCGAAATGCTGTTTTTCCAACCAAATCAGTCTTGTTAACATCAGCTCCATGTTGAACCATCAGTTTTATAACAGTGGCATGGACATTGCCTCTCTTACAGAGATAGTGAAATGCTGTCATTTGATATCTATCATTCCTTTTAACATCAGCTCCATGTTGAATCATCAGTTTTACAACACTCGCATCAAGGTCGACTCTCGCACACAGATAGTGAAGTGCTGTCTTTCCAACATCATCAGTCTTGTTAACATCAGCCCTATGTTGTATCATCAGTTCTACAACAGTCGCATCAACATTGCCTCTCTCACACAGATAGTGAAATGCCGTAGAGCTATGCATGTCAGTCTTGTTAACATCAGCTCCATGTTGTATCATCAGTTTTATAACAGTGACATGAACATTGCCTCTCTTACACAGATAGTGAAATGCTGTCTTTCCAACAAAATCAGTCTTGTTAACATCAGCTCCACATTGAATCATCAGTTTTACAACGTTCACAGCAACATTGCCTCTTTCACACAGATAGTGAAATGCTGTCATTCGATGTCTATCATTCCTTTTAACATCAGCTCCATGTTGTATCATCAGTTTTACTACACTCGCATCAAGATCGACTCCCCGCACACAGATAGTGAAGTGCTGTCTTTCCAACATCATCAGTCTTGTTAACATCAGCCATATGTTGTATCATCAGTTCTACAACACTCGCATCAACATTGCCTCTCTCACACAGATAGTGAAATGCCGTAGTTCGATGCATGTCAGTCTTGTTAACATCAGCTCCATGTTGTATCATCAGTTCTACAACACCAGCTTTAACATCGCCTCTCTCACACAGATAGTGAAATGCAGTCTTTTCAACAGCATCAGTCTTGTTAACATCAGCCCCATGTTGTATCATCAGTTTTACAACACTCGCATCAACATTGCCTCTTTGACACAGAAAGTGAAATGCTGTCTTTCCAACAACATCAGTCTTGTTAACATCAGCCCCATGTTGTATCATCGGTTTTACAACACTACCATCAACATTGCCTCCCTCACAAAGATAGTGAAATGCTGTCTTTCCAACCTCATCAGTCTTGTTAACATCAGCTCCATGTTGTATCATCAGTTCTACAACACTCGCATCAACATTGCCTATTTGACACAGATAGTGAAATGCTGTCTTTCCCCCATCATCAGTCTTGTTAACATCAGCTCCATGTTGTCTCATGAGTTCTACAACACTCGCATCAACTTTGCCTCTCTCACACACAATGTGAAGCGCTGTCTTTCCATTCAAATCAGTCTTCTTAACATCAGCTCCGTACTCCAGCAGGACACGAAATGCTACATCGTTTCCACATTGTAGGACTTTGAACAACATAGTTCTTCCTGTTCCATCCGTCTGATCGATTGGTATTCTTCCCGTTTGCTGCAAAACATAATCCTAAGCATTAATTATTGACGAAGCTAATGTTACACTTGACTTCAAAAAGATGTACCTGTTTATGTTGTATCTAAACACTTTCATTGGACGTGTTTTTTGTCACATCACCGACTTATATTGTTACGAGAGTGTGTGTTTTTTGTAATTTGTAATAACATTGATTAGTGATAATAATTATGAGCCACAATGTTTAAAGTTTTGAGTGTCGGTTGTGGGTCACATTTCGAGTCATATATGTTCAGTGGCAACAACTAGTATTTTAGCGACACGCCTTTATGATAGCACTCCAGAGTTACCTCCCTTGACCGGATGTTTATGTGTTGACATCGTGATGTCGTATGTTCAACATGTTTCGAGAAAGATCTAAGTGGTTAATGATACAGCCATGCTTTGCTGGAACGTTCGAGAATCTGTGTCAGTATATATAAAAGCTGGCTGTTGTGTGGTGCAATGCAAGGACTGACACACGGAATTACACGGAACTTTCGATATCACTGGAGTTGCCCATCGGTGTTTGCCTTCGTCCTTCGTCACATCGCCATCGTCTGACCCTGACACTTCGTGCCTGACTGCTCTCATTTTTAAGCAAGCTCCATTTAGAATATCTGATATCACTCTGGTCAGTTAATATTATATATCTGACCCATAACTTTAGATTTGTGACTCAATTGCATTGTACCAGAAATCTGTATTGTGATTCATTGTAGCTTGCTCATTGTTTGCTCAATATATTATTGAATATTTTACACCTGTCTGTGTTATATTTTGCTGGTTCGAAGGGGATTCTTAAATCTATTGTCACGGCAATATATCAACTGTAACAAAATTATCACGATACAAAGAGTATTCGTATCTAAAAAACAGACTGTTGATTGAACACGACAATATGTAAGTAATACCATGACGTGCCAAATGATGTGGAATGGAATCCAGAAGTGATGCAGATCTTGGATGTAAGATACTTTGAGGAGACTGATGAGCACAGTACTGACAAACCAAGGAACATAATCAGGACGAGAAAGGGATTCACAGGTTTCTGGTGTGCCGTAAGATCCCAGGTCCCCACAGCAAATCGTTTTATTCTCTTCACTATCACCCCAGGCAAATTCCAACCAATTTAGAATAGATTTGGAATATCTCGTATGTAAAAACGGTGTATACACGATTCGATGGATCCAACACTGAAGGGGCATAATTTCTGTTGATTGTTTAGTTACCTTCCAGCATAGGAAGTTGAAATTGTTCCAAAAGGTATTCGCCTCAGTGATCGATGGAAAGAAAGCCCGACAAAAGTCCTCGTTTTGAAAAAATGGATGACCAAGTACAGCAAAATGTCTATAGAGCACTGGAAGGGTGAACCTCTCACACAAACGTCGGATGTTTTCTGGGGTTGGTGGCACGCTGAAGACACTTCTCGACACATTGATGTCATGGGTATGTGACGCTGCAAACTTCATTTTCTCCATTATAAAAGAGAAACTGAAATGTTTGAGAGCGAACACCACGTCGCGTGTGCCTGTGCAATTTGCTGCACTTTCATATATTGAAGGATGTGCGAATGTTATAATGCCTTGGGTGTTTGACAGATAGCTTCCAGTTAGAGGAGATGATACTTCAAGGATACCACTGCGCTGTTCATCGTCATCTATCTTACTGGTATCAAGTCGCCCATCTTGTTGCAAGAGAGTCTTGAACAATTGTTTCAGTTTTTCGTTTTCTAGATACGCATCAGTCGTGGCATCTAAGATCTCAAGAGGAGAAGTGAAAAACTGAACAATGTCAATTTGATTTCCCTTCTGCTTTAACTCTGCAAACAGTTTGCAACAATGTGGAAATCCGTATGGTATGCTTCTCGCAATAACTTTTCGTTTTTCTGTTTCTGATATATCATTGATATTCTTCTGATTCAGATGATAGTCTAGTATTGCGGATTGCTCCTTATCCGGCAGACGAGATAGATTTGTGACAGCGTTTTCCCCAAGAATGGAAGATTTATGTTTTTCAAGGCTGAATTCAACTTCTTTTAAGATATTTAACCTTTGCACAAACACACAGATGACTCCACATGGCTGCCCAGATTCTTTAGACTTTGACATTTTCTCCATGGCGTCGAATATGACAGGTTTCCATGTGCTGAACGCCAGATTATCAAGAGCAAAGGCCCCTATTACATCGTTCATCATGATGACACATTGGTCTGTATTGTTTGTAATATTGTAATAGTCCTCCACTGTCTTCATTCTAAACACTTCTTTTCCTTGCTTCATCATCTCCTCAAGCACCATGTAGGCCACAGTTGTCTTCCCATCACCACCATTTCCGGTGACTGTGATCCATTTTGTCCAGCGTCAATCTTCTTCACGATGTCATCAACGAACTGTATTTTGATCATACCAGATGTCCAAGTATTGATTTCTGAAACTGTCGCATCTGTGAAACGCATAAGATGCAATGTTAATGTATCATCTTGACATTGATCGTGATTATGTTGCATATGCCAAAGGAGAATTTAGAGCTACGTAATAATTTCACATCTTCACGAACTTATGATCAAACATACTTGTATGCACACTTGGCAAATATTTTTCAAACACTAACGGGAATTTTCAAGGTGCCACACTTACCTGTTATCCTCTGTATTTTGGAGTCTTTTGGGGTTTCTGAAAATTATGTCACATAAATCAATGTCAGGTCAGATGTGTAAAACCCATCCCTTTCGAGTCTCCTACAGATGTAACATGTCAATCTACAAGGGTTTCATTGTAAGTCCTTCAGTTGCGCCATTTCATGCAGCAATTTATCATATTATTCCACAAGAGATCATCCGTAAAGATCATCCTACAGATGCAGTCCTGGGCGGTGGGTCACGCCGGATACCCGGGCTCGATTCCCACACATGGGTACAATGTGTGAAGCCATTTCTGGTGTCCCCCCGCCATGATATTGCTGGAATTGTGTGAAACGGCGTAAACGCGCGCGTGTGCCCGCACGCACGCACGCACACACACACACACACACACACACACACAGACAGACACACAGACACACACTCACTCACACTTGCGTTCATACAGGTGTTTCATGTCTTTCCTCAAATTAGGATATGGTAGAATAAAATAATATGAATGTGTATTATATGTAACTTAAGAGACAAGCTCCCTCCCCCCCCCAAAAAAAAACAACAACAATAATTGGTCACCCATCAAAAGACACTTCGCTGCCTGACTGATTTCTGAAATGAGCTCTATACACAAGACAACACGCAGGTGTTTCATGTTATTCCACATCATTCTGTATGTGTTTCCTGTCGGCCTAGGCTGTTTTTATCATGCTACTAGGGTGTCATGTACCCTACAGATGTGCTATATCATGCTACTGGGGCGTCATGTCCATACAGATGATCTATGTCATGCTACTGGGGTGCCATGTCCCCTACAGATGCTCTGTATCATGCTACTGGGGTGTCATGTACTCTACAGATGTTCTATATCATGCTACTAGGATGTCATGTACACAACAGATGTTCTATATCATGCTACAGGGGTGTCATGTACTCTACAGATGTTCTATATCATGCTACTAGGATGTCATGTACACAACAGATGTTCTATATCATGCTACAGGGGTGTCATGTACACTACAGATGTTTTATATCATGTTACTGGGGTGTCAAGTACTCTACAGATATTCTATATCATGCTACTAGGGTGTCATGTACTCTACAGATGTTTTGTATCATTATACTAGGGTGTCATTTCCCCTACAGATGTTCTATATCATTATACTGGGTGTCATGTCCCCTACAGATGTTCTGTATCATGCTACTGGGGTGTCATGAACACTACAGATGTGCTATATCATGCTACTGGGGTGCCATGTCCCTTACAGATGTTCTGTATCATGCTACTGGGGTGCCATGTCCCCTACAGATGTTCTGTATCATGCTACTGGGGTGTCATGTCTCCTACAGATGTTCTATATCATGCTACTAGGGTGTCATATAAACTACAGATGTTCTATGTCATGGTACTGGGGTGTCATGTCCCCTACATATGTTCTGTGTCATGGTACTGGGGTATCATGTCCCCTATATGTGATCTATATCATGCTACTAGGGTGTTATGTCCTCAAACACTGTTTTTATATACCATGTTACTGGGTACCATGTCCCCTACAGATGTTCTGGTACTGGGGTGTCATGTCCCCTACATGTGTTCTGTATAATGCTACTAGGGTGTCATGTCCCCTACAGATGTTCTATATCATGCTACTAGGGTGCCATATCCCCTACAGATGTTCTGTATCATGCTACTGGGGTGCCATGTCCCCTACAGAAGATCTGTATCATGTTGCTGGGGTGTCATGTTTCCTACAGATGTTCTGTATCATGTTACTGGGTTGTCATGGCCTCTCCACATGTTTTATATCATGCTACTGGGGGATCATGTACACTACAGATATTCTATATCATGTTACTGGGGTGTTAAGCACTCTACAGATATTCTATATGATGCTACTAGGGTGTCATGTACTCTACAGATGTTCTGTATCATGCTACTGGGGTGTCATGTCCCCTACAGATGTTCTATGTCATTATACTGGGTGTCATGTCCCCTGCAGGTGTTCTGTATCATGCTACTGGGGTGTCATGTACACCACAGATGTTGTATATCGAGCTACTAGGGTCCCATGTTCCCTACAGATGTTCTGTATCATTCTACTGGGGTGCCATGTACTCTACATATGTTCTGTGTCATGGTACTGGGGTATCATGTCCCCTATATGTGATCTATATCATGCTACTAGGGTGTCATGTCCCCTACAGAAGTTCTACATCATGTTACCAGGGTGTCATCTCCCATACACTATTTTGTATAACATGCTACTGGTGTGTCATGATCCCTACACTTCTTCTATGTGATATTACTGCGGTGCCATGTCCCGTAAACTTGTTCTATATAAGGCTATTGGGGTGTCATGTCCCCTACATATGTTTTGTATCATGCTACTGGGCAGTCATGTACACTGCAGACGTTCTATATCATCTTACTGGGGTCTTAAGTACTCTACAGATATTTTATATCATGCTACTAGTGTGTCATGAACTCTACAGATGTTCTGTATCATGCTACTGGGGTGTCATGTCCCCTACAGATGTTCTATGTCATTATACTGGGTGTCATGTCCCCTGCAGATGTTCTGTATCATGCTGCTGGGGTGTCATGTACACTACAGATGTTGTATATCAAGCTACTAGGGTCCCATGTTCCCTACAGATGTTTTGTATCATGCTACTGGGGTGCCATGTCCCCTACATATGATCTGTATCATGCTACTGGGGTGTCATGACCCCTACAGATGTTCTGTATCATGTTACTGTGGTGTCTTGCCCCCTACACATGTTTTATATCATGCTACTGGGGTGTCATGTCCCCTACATTAGTTCTATATCATGCTACGCCCGTGTCATTTCCCCTACAGAATTCTACATAATGCTACTCGAGTGGCATGCCCCCATACACTGTGATGTATATAATGTTACTGGTGTGTCATGTACCCTACATTTCTTCTATGTCATACTACTGGGGGTCATGTCCCCTACAGATGTTCTATGTCAAGCTACAGGGGTGTCATGTATGCTAGAGATGTTCTACGTCATGCTACTGGGGTGTCATGTATCCTGCAGATGTTCTGTATCATGCTACTGGGGTGTCATGTACACTACAGATGTTCTATGTCATGCTACTTGGGTCATGTCTCCTACAGATGTTTTGTATCATGGTACTGACGCGTCCTGTCCCCTACATATGTTTTGTATCATGCAACTGGGGTGTCATGTACACTACAGATATTCTATATCATCTTACTGGGGTCTTAAGTACTCTACAGATATTCTATATCATGCTACTAGTGTGTCATGAACTCTACAGATTTTCTGTGTCATGCTACTGGGGTGTCATGTCCCCTACAGATGTTCTATGTCATTATACTGGGTGTCATGTCCCCTGCAGATGTTCTGTATCATGCTGCTGGGGTGTCATGTACACTACAAATGTTGTATATCAAGCTACTAGGGTCCCATGTTCCCTACAGATGTTTTGTATCATGCTACTGGGGTGCCATGTCCCCTACATATGATCTGTATCATGCTACTGGGGTGTCATGACCCCTACAGATGTTCTGCATCATGTTACTGGGGTGTCTTGCCCCCTACACATGTTTTATAGCATGCTACTGGGGTGTCATGTCCCATACATGTGTTCTATATCATGCTACGCCCGTGTCATGCCCCTACAGAATTCTACATAATGCTACTCGAGTGGCATGCCCCCATACACTGTGATGTATATACTGCTACTGGTGTGTCATGTACCCTACATTTCTTCTATGTCATACTACTGGGGGTCTTGTCCCCTACAGATGTTCTATGTCAAGCTACAGGGGTGTCATGTATGCTAGAGATGTTCTATGTCATGCTACTTGGGTCATGTCCCCTACATATGTTTTGTATCATGCAACTGGGGTGTCATGTACACTACAGATATTTTATATCATCTTACTGGGGTGTCAAGTACTCTAGAGATATTCTATATGATGCTACTAGGGTGCCATGTACTCTACAGATGTTCTGTATCATGCTACTAGGGTCTCATGTCCCCTACAGATGTTCTGTATCATGCTACTAGGGTGTCATGTCCCCTACAGATGTACTATATCATTATACTGGGTGTCATGTCCCCTACAGATGTTTTATGTCATGCAACAGGGGTGCCATGTCCCAAGGGGTGTAGATGTTCTATATCATGCTACTAGGGTGTTATGTCCTCAAACACTGTTTTTATATACCATGTTACTGGGTACCATGTCCCCTACAGATGTTCTGGTACTGGGGTGTCATGTCCCCTACATGTGTTCTGTATAATGCTACTAGGGTGTCATGTCCCCTACAGATGTTCTATATCATGCTACTAGGGTGCCATATCCCCTACAGATGTTCTGTATCATGCTACTGGGGTGCCATGTCCCCTACAGAAGATCTGTATCATGTTGCTGGGGTGTCATGTTTCCTACAGATGTTCTGTATCATGTTACTGGGTTGTCATGGCCTCTCCACATGTTTTATATCATGCTACTGGGGGATCATGTACACTACAGATATTCTATATCATGTTACTGGGGTGTTAAGCACTCTACAGATATTCTATATGATGCTACTAGGGTGTCATGTACTCTACAGATGTTCTGTATCATGCTACTGGGGTGTCATGTCCCCTACAGATGTTCTATGTCATTATACTGGGTGTCATGTCCCCTGCAGGTGTTCTGTATCATGCTACTGGGGTGTCATGTACACCACAGATGTTGTATATCGAGCTACTAGGGTCCCATGTTCCCTACAGATGTTCTGTATCATTCTACTGGGGTGCCATGTACTCTACATATGATCTGTATCATGCTACTGGGGTGTCATGACCCCTACAGATGTTCTGTATCATGTTACTGTGGTGTCTTGCCCACTACACATGTTTTATGTCATGCTACTGGGGTGTCATGTCCCTTACATGTGTTCTATATCATGCTACTCCCCTGTCATGTCCCCTACAGAATTCTACATGATGCTACTCGAGTGTCATGCCCCCATGCACTGTGATGTATATAA